CTGATATAACATAGGTTCTCATTCTACATAAGAGCCTAGTGAAGCCGGTGATCAGTAGAGTTCCCAACTGATTCGTTTTTGATGTGTGTTCCTTGTGTCAATATAATATTTTAAAAAATTGAATTAAATATCTATTTGAAATCTCATGTGCACATGATTGTTTTCTCTGATTTGAAATATAATGTTTGATCTGATTTGACTATTGTAAAATTTATCTGATTTGAAGTCTACTTCCTGATTTACTAAAATTTAAAGCATGATTGTCTGACTTATTATCTCTGGTTACTGTTTTACTAATTGATTATCTGTCTGACTCTTATTTATTGTTACCACTAGTTCTATCTGAAAAAATATTTTATTTGGGGCACTCTTGGATCTAGTATGAAGACTCTGGCAGGTTCAGTCGCTGTTGGTAATTTCTTGTATAGGTTCAACACCGATTGGTAATTCCTTATGGACCTATGACGCTTTTGGGTGGGCTCCTAGGCCTAATAGCCCTAGTGGTAAGACCTTATGGACCCTAAGGTACTCCCTTAGGGTGCTCCTCTGCTGTGTGCATTGGGTAAGTCCTTATAGACCCTAAGGTACTCCCTTAGGGTGGCTCCTCTACTGTCTACATTGGGTAAGTCCTTATGGGCCTAAGGGCACTCCTCTCAGGTGGGCATCTATGCTTCATCTAGGGTAAGATCTTATGGACCCAAGGTGCTCCCTTAGGTTGGCACCTACGCCCTTCGGGCCTAGGGTAAGTCCTTATGGATGCAGTTAAGAGGAACTGCATATGGTGTTCGGCTGGGGGTGATACTGAAATTTTAAAATAAAAACTCTATGATGTTTAATAACTATGATCCGAACTGATTTTTAAAAGTCTATTGCTTGTTTTATTTATGCACTGTTGGGACACACTAAGGCTCTAGCTCACTTTTTAAACTCTTTTACCCCCTTTCAGATACTCTTGGATAGGCACCCCGTACCAGGCCCTTGGAAGATCGACACATTTAGTACATATCATTTTGTTGTAATGTTTCCATCTTTCGAACTGCTTTCAATTACGGTGACATATGCCTTTATTTAGAAGTACTTATCTTTTTATGATGTTTACTACTTTTGCTATTGATATTTGATTTAATGTTATTCGAATTCATTATATGTTTTATTTTACCTAGTGTTTTTAGTTTTATATGAGTTGGGTTTTTATCGTTATTTATTATACTTTTATAAATGTCATTTGTAATATGATTTTAAATTATCGAATAACATTTTTGGAAAATGTTTTAGAGAATTTGTAATGTAATCCATTAGACTTAGTTGAAATGCATAGGTTGGGTCTATGGGGTTACAGAGAATTTTATTACTATTTTTTTTGTTATTATTTTGTTCCTAATTACTCCATGTTATCTATTTCATATTGTTGATTTCGGTTGTTTATGTTTAATTCTGTGTAGGATTCTATTTTTCAAAAAAAATAAAGGGTGAATTCTACAACATTTTTTATTTTTGAAATCAAGGTTGGACAGATGGACATGACTTTCTGTATGAAGATGTCGACATGGAAAATCTTCAATCCAGTTGGCATCAACTTCTAGAAGATGATTCAGTCAGCGGAATCAAAGTGGAAGGTCGAACGGGCGAAATCTCTTTAGGATTTAAGAATTTTATTTGAATTTAAATGTTTGAAAATCATTTTTCTATTATTTAGGAATTATCTCTTTATTAATTAGGATTTAGGTATTTGAATGTATTTAATATTATCTTTGTTTTATTTCTTTAGGTATTTATTTTCTTTAGGTTATCTTAAGCTATAAATACCTGTGAAGCTTGACAGATGTAATGCTTTTGGATTTAATTAACTTTGGGATTTTTGTAAAGATTATTTTTGTTCTACATCTTCTTTTTTTCTTTCTTTCTTTTAAATGCTAATTATGATTTCTATCATTCTTAGATAAACTTCCATTTAGCCGATAGCTGAGTAAAGACTCGATTTATTTTGTAAGAATTGAAAAAAGTACTTCACACCTTCAAGTTTATTTCTTGATTTTTGGCAATCTAGGATTGACAATCTGCATTTCCTTTAAACATCTCAACACTTTCAATCCAAAGAGCGCGCGTTGGTTTGATCGACATTTTGATTATCATTGGGAAGAATAGTCATCTTGTAGCAAATTCAACTCCCTCATAACACACTTAGCGCGGTCCGCTAAGGAAAATCAAGATCGAGTTCGATTCTCATCAAGACACCATAATATGATCATGGGCTTTTCCATCACTAAAGATAACATTGGTGTTAACTTTGATAGTCGTGGTTAATCCAAACAAGGGCTAAATTCCAAGGATTGACTTTGGAAGATTAGTTCACCAGAGAGAAAGTAAGTTACAAGGGTTGGGCTTTGTAAACTGTAATCGGCAAGTATCCGAAGTAAAATCTATTTCAATGGTCGAGATGAACTGAGGCAACATTACAGCAAAATGGGTTTATAGCGGCATTTTTAACTGGTTTTTAAAAAAAACGCTGGTAAATTTATTGTTATCACGGTGTTTTTAGAACAAAAGCCATAAAATAACAAATTTAGCGGCGTTTTAATAAAAATACTACTAAATACTCATACTTTAGTGTTTTTTTTATATAAACCACTAAAGACTGTACTTTATTGGCATTGTTATACAATAGACTCGTACTTTAGTGGCGTTTTTATACAAACACCTCTAAAGACTCGTCGCTAAAGACTCATACTTTAGTGGCATTTTTATAAAAACGCCGCTAAAGACTCGTACTTTAGTGGCGTTTGTGATTACAAACACTGCAAGTTTACAGTTTCTAAGTCCCCTTTTTCATTTTTCACTTTACCTATTTTTTCATTCCCACCGTTTACCCAAACCCATATGTTGCTTAATCGCCGATCTCACTTTATCTTGCCGAATCTGTTGCTTCTTCGTCGATCTACAAGTGTAGTATTTGTTCTTCGGCTTGCCTCATTTTCAATAGTTTGTTGCCCAGATATGGCCCCAAAGTGTTAAAGATTCAACATCCCATCTTCATTCACTACTGAAGGAGGCTATCATGCAGGTCGATTCACACTCAATTTGTTGTTTCGGAAAAAATACTCATTCTAAATGTAAAGTGAACTTTATATATCCTTTTTCTTTGATATTTTTCTTGTCAATATTTTCTTCTGCATTTTCCTAACTACATCATTTGCTTCATTATCATATTACCCATCGGTGCTTCTGTAGTCGTACCCTTCTCACTTGCTACTTGTAAATTATAGTACAGTTTACATGTTTTTCAGCATGTGTTGGTCAAGCTTTATTTTGCCTTTCAATGTGGTTGACATATAAGTAAAGGGCAGGGAATCAAATAGCGGACCGAAAACGCTATCGCGGGCGTTATTTAGCAGTAGCGTCGTCGTCCGAAATCGAGATTGATAAAATTAGCGGTGGGTGGCAGATTCACACCAATATGGCCCGTTGCCCCCGCAATTTAATGGGTAATGGTGAATAGTGTCGATAACGGGACGCTATTACCGTTTCCGACCACTACAGCGAAACAAAAAATAAAATAAAAATAAAGGAGAGACCAATAAGAGAAGAAATGAAGGAAAAAGCATGAAACGTTTAAGAATCCAAATTTATAACAAGAAAAAAAAGAAGCACGGTCAAATACAAAATTAAAGATAAAAAAACAGTGAAAAAAGGAAAATTTGAAGAAAAGAATGCTTACCTCTGCTCCTTGCCATTTCTGGGTATCAAAGCAATGAACAACTTATCCCAATAATGGAGAGTTTTCATTCGGTGAAATGGCAACATATATGAAAAGGGGCTAGATCTGACGATGAACGATGGAGTTCGGAGGACAAGAATAAAGAACTCGAAAGATTTGCGACTGATTTAGAAATTTGAGATGTTTGTCATTGATACCAAGGCTGGATTTGTACTTAGGATACCAAAGAGAATATGTTTCTGCATTTTAAATTTAGTACGGTGGTCGGAAACGTCCAACATGGTGCTTGTTGTGACGGTCTGCTACTCGGCGATGAAAATGGGTTTCTGAGACAATGAAGAGAGTTTTTGGGAGAAAGAGAATACAAAGGAAAAGAAAATATAAGAAGATGTTATAATAATTATTGGGGTAATTATTGATTTGCCGTCTTTTAGTTTTCCAAATATCTAATTTAGTCCCTAATTTTCATGTTTAGTTGTTTAGTTGTATTTAATTTAGTCATTTTGTGTTCTTTAAATTATTTAAATTTCACACTTTTATTTTAATTATATTTAATTGTGGCTTAAAGAAAGTTGTGTGAAATTATTATGTTTTAGGATAAGTTGTGTGAAATTTAAAAAAAATTCACGACTGTGACACCGCTGTGACCGCGATAGTATCCGTTATGTCCGTAACCGCGATAGTATCCGTTATGTCCGTAACCGCGATAAACGCAACGCGACCGCGAACTCTATTTAATCCCTGGTATAGGGATTTAAACTTTACCTCGGTAGAGGTTTCCAAAATTAATGCCATGAATTCAGTTAAGGAATTTTTTCCTGTCAAACGTATTGATCAGCAGACCCAGCTATTCTCAATGAAAATTAATTAAAAAAGTAGGCATAGTAATCCATAGCAAAAAAAATTCTTTCCTATTCCATTAAAAGCATTGAACTATGAAATAGCTTCTTATTCTCATTCCAAAGCTATTTCAGGATTATAAAACTCAAATTTTAGCCACTAGAATGTTGAAGATCCCAGTGTGTGCAGCGGCCACTCAATCTTTTGACGTTTCTAAATGCCAAAAGGAATTGACTACCTCTGAAATTAACATCTAAATATTATCCTTAAGAACTGTTCCAAAGAAAAAAGTGATTTGGAAGATTGGAGATTTGACATGCTCTATTACAGCTTTATATTGGGCATTTCATTTTAGCTTGAATATGATATATGATTAGAGTTTTATCAATTTTCATAAATGCTTAAATAAATTTTATACAACTGAAGTTGCTAATGTGCAACTGGCATGGAGAAGAATTTGTTTGGAAATCATCCTCCACCTGCATTTGCTTCAGATCCACTAATGAACATGAACTCTACAGTAGGAAGGGAGCATAGTGGGAATTCATCACCTGCTGTGTCCAAAGATGAAGGATACTCAACTATTGGAGGACCTTCTAAACTCACGGTGTCCAAAATAACGGAGATAGAAGGTCCTGGTTCGGCTGAGAATTACATGAAAACCTCTAGTCCAGTTGGTGTAAGTTTTATTTTTGTTAATTGTTGGATGTGATCTAAGTTGTTCGAGTCATATTCTGATTTGCCTGTTTGTATGTGTCAATTCTCATACATTATCTTTTTGTCTTCTTAAATTGGGTGTTCCGCTCCATGCTGCCATGTAACCCAGCCTGTGGCTACAACACTTAAGAGTACAGTTCATGTTGATAAACAAAATCCAGAAATCTCACATTATGCCGATGATGAAGCTGGAAATCGTAAAATGTATTCTCAAAGGGTAAGGTAAAAGAAGCCTTTGTTCATGGTGCATATATTTTATGCTCAGATCTCAAATTCGTTTTTCGTACCATCATTTTTTTAGTATCTGTTGTTGTAGGTTCGCCACGCCATAAGTTTCTCAGAGCATTGATTCCCTTCAGGTCAAGTGCATTACCTACTCTCTACGGTGACTGCACCTCCACGTAAAGATGCAGATGATGGCCCTGAAGGTCGGTTAAAGCATCAGAGGTCAACGCGGATAGATCCACGAAAAATCCTTCTTGTCATGGCAATCATGTAAGTCTGCACTTTTCTTTATCTTCTGTATATATGATCCAATGCCATGCTAACCACTCGCATTCAAATTCACGCAGAGATGTACCTTTCTCATGCATGCATAGAGAATAGACAATGAAAATAGTTGAATTATCTAACTTTAAAATTAATAAGAATTTAATAAATATTTAATTCAAAATTTAAAATATACAAGATTTAATTTAATAAGTTTCAAATAAAAATATAAGACTAAACTTGTGATTAGACAAAAATTTTGGACTCAATGGCTTCATCCCACAATAAGATAATTAGGTTGAACTTGGGGTTCCTACATGGAATTATATTTTAAAACTTTCATATAATCTAGGTTCTTTTTATATTTTATAAATAATTTAATTTTTATATCCTAAAATTTTATAATTTTATACTCTTAAATTTCTAGTATGTCTTTCAAAAAATTCACACTCTAACCTATTGTAATTATATGATTATATAAATTAATGTTGACATATTAATAGCTCGTATTATATAATATGTGTATTGTTATAGGTTGTTATCATGTTTTATTTGATATTCTTGTGTCGTGTTCAAAGTTATCTTCAATTTATCAGTATACCGAGTCAACTCGAACTGGACAAATCCTAGCACTGTGATACTTTCCAACCAGTCAAACCGATGCACTTCAAGGATATCAAACTTTAATACTGACACCACTAGTCGAACTGATCATCTTCAAAATCATCTTTGAACGGATCATGAGGACACAAACATGTATTAAAGTAGTATTTGTTTACTTCCTGCATTATAATAGTATTAGGGATGATCGACCTACTTAGGTTGTACTCTATAAGCCTCGAGGATGTTACAGCATTTAAAGTTTCACTGGTATCTACAGAACTTATCCAAGGGACTTTTTTTAATCCAAGTCATGAGGGTTAGGTAATCTTAGTATTCGAGGTTATTTTAGTCATTTTTAGGTCTAAGGGAACTTTGGTTATTTCAAAACTTTAAGATGATCCATCATTTAAATACTTTAGGGACGTTTCTCACTTCCAGTAATCTAGTCTACAAATGATCATTCAAAAACAAAGAGATCGCCATATTAAGAATTTCAAAAGTAAAAGTTTATTTTTAGGGTTTTTCAAAGAGATAGAGAATTTAATCGATGATTCCAAGGTTCAAATAGATCAAAATATGAGTTCTCATATCGTCTTCATTATCATAGTCATCCATAGTCCTTTTTACATTTTAAGGGTATTATCGTTATCCCATTCAATTCTGTCAGTCGTATTAATTCCGGTAAATTAGGCTTCACGTGTTTATTCAAAAATAAAAATTTATAGGTCTTATGCGTTTTCTGAGGTTTAAAACTGATTATAAGATATTTTCCAAATAAATCATGATTAACAAGTGTGTCATTAATTTTATCGGGTCAAAATACAGATTCTCGGGGTAATTTCACTATCAGGGTCAATACATACTATTTTTACACCTTAAGGCTATTTTCGTAATTTCTTATGCATGTATATCTTACATTTAACCTTTAACGAAAATAATCAAAGTTAAGGATCTTGAATTCAATTAGTTTACTGATTAATCATTGAACTTGAATTTATTTCTTATTGATATTCTAATTCCTTACGCGAGTCATTCGAGTCTTATACAGTTTACTACCTTCTCATCGTAATCATACGGGTTTACCTCAATCAATGGTATCCATAAGATCAATTGAACTTATTCATGCATTTACCAACTATCAATGTGTACCATGCATTTACCAACTATCAATGTGTACCATAAAAGCATACAAAATGTAGCAGATATTACCTCAATTTTTTAGCCACATCAGTTTATCATTTCAACTCCATTCGACCACCCTCAGACTTGGATTCAATGCCCAACAGAATCTCAATTACATAAAGAAAGAAATTACGTTAAAACAAAACTTAATCAGGGAAAACGAATTGAATCAGAAGATGAAATGATGAAAATATTTTACCACGGTTGAATTTGATGAAACGGACTTCGAATTCCAACTTAGGACGTTGACAAACCCAAAACATTCCTTTTTTAGAAATAGTCAATTACGCTACTAGAACCTCGTTATCCTTGAATTCGAGCTTACTAAATTTGATTCCGAGCTTCCAATCCCTTTCATAAACTCGGGCCATCTCTACTACTGAATCGAAGCAATTTAAACTATCATAGCTTAACTATAATTATATTAAAACTGGAGGTGATGGTCAGAATCTTACCAAACATGAAGCACTAAAACTATGATTTGCCCATCTCACGTTGCAAACGCCCCAAATCACGTGATTTTCAAAAGAAAATATGAAATTGTTTTTTAGTTTCATCTTCCACGGATATTACCATTTCATTCTTTCCTTTAAGCCTTCTCATCATTCCTTCTCTGTAATAGAAGCGAGAAAGCTTCACCTACCGACAATCAAACACCGGTGACCACTGCACCGACACCGTCTATGATCATCGTCTGGGACCTAACATACATGGTTTGAACCACCTCGAGCTCCCCATCATGAATCCGGCCTCCAATCATCCATAAACACTATCGATCGTCCTAGTTCTAGAGGAAAACATTCGATTTTCTCGCAGCAAAACACATCGGTCTGCCTTCGGTGACCATCCGATAACTTTCATTCCACAATATGCTACTCTCGTCGTCAAGAAAGACATCTTCACCATCCTTGATCTTTCAAACAGCGCTTGAATCGTCAAAAAAAATAGAAACTCCTTTCTCCATCATTTTCCTTTGCTTCCCCCTTTTTATTTCTCATTTATTTGATTGTTTTCTTGAATTTTGCTTATGGATGTCGATTAAACTGCTATTGTTTATAAGTTGATGTGACTACTATTTCTTCATTTTCGATTAAAGGCAGTGTAGATGGTGGGGTGGTCGTCGATTTCTTCACTAGTTTTTGAAGCCGATAAATGGGCTGCAATAATGGGTCACCTACGGGGCCCAGACGTGGGGATTCTAGCCGTACACCCCTGGGAACCGAATGGTCACTGCTGGTGCTGGGGACATGGCCAAATGGTGGTTGGTTGGTGCACTGTAGGGGCCACTGATGGGGCTGATTGGGTGATGGTTACACGAAGGGTTTTTTCTGGTTGAGTCACTTCCCAATCTCGATTTTAAAAATGTGTTTTCCCTTGAAAAATATCTTTCATATGTGGTTATTAATTTTTCAAAAAATATTGCTACTAATATTATAAATTATTTAATCTGGTCAAAAAAAATTATCCCTTATCTTCCACGTAATAATTTCCAAACTTTTGGAAATTTAAAAGTTAGTCTCCAAATACAACTGAGGTTTAGCCCCAACATCGTATGTGACAATTATACCCTCTTTAAAAGAAAATTCATCCTTAAAATTTACTTGAATTAAATGAAAAACGAGCCTTCATTAAATTATAATCTCTTAGGTATCTTTTTGCATGAATATGATTATTCCATTGTCTTAACCATCAAATTTATATTTTATCATGCACACATATATTCCTTTCAATCTCATAACAATCATATCATATAAGCACAGGGTTTAACAATTGTCACATTAAAAAAAATTGAACCATAGATTTTCTAGAAATTCTCTCATCCAAATAATCGATATAAAACTTTGGGAAATCACATTGTTAGAGCTTAGACAAGGTATTTACTCTTTAATCCACCTTTAGTAGTAGATCTAAATCTCGAAATTTTACTTATAAGGTTTGGACACGAGCTTTCATCACATAATGTTTGTGATAATATAACTCAAATTCATTTCGGGGGTTAGGTTAGGATCCTCAAGCTAGTAACTCGTACGTTATTCGTGAGGTGATTTTTTTTCATATAAGAGAATGATACAGATTTTGTTTTCCTTCACATATTGAAACTTAATGGTCATAATACTTATGTACGTTCATTACAGAGATAGAAATCCTTGACAGTCGATCGACTGATCAACTCAAAAGACTCGACTTAACCTAAGATCTGATACCACTAAATGTAACACTCATAGATCGATGGGTGACCCAATCCAATCCGAGGCATCATATTAGGGCCACCGAAGCGACTTACAATAAAAATCCTGGAAAATTTAAAATTTCCGTTAAAACGCGTAAAATCATAAAACAATTTATAATTGAAATAAAAGTTCAGAAAAAGCCATTCATATATTAAAAACAGAATTAAAATCATACAAATTTTAGACTCTGAATAGAATACAAACTTACATGCCTCCTAATCACATGTATTGTACTCCGCATGCAACGCCGGTGAACTCCTTTACTGATGTCAATAGCTGCACTGATTCGATTATTTTAACCTGAAATGGTGAGTAAAAGAGTGAGCTTTGGGAAGCTCAGTAATACAAAATTACCAAGTGATGCTGAAGAACATTCAAATAAATGGAAAAACATAAATTTCCTTGTGGATTCAGACGTCTACAGGTTTTCGGATGAGCTATGGTTCCATTAATATTTCTTCAAGTAAAAGACATGAAACTTACAGTTCAGAGGAAAAATTTTAGAAGACCAGGTTTAGGAGATCTAAAAAGGATGTCTAGTGTGTTCAACAAAACAGAGTAATGTATATAGATCATTTAAAAACGTTAGTAGTTTTAAACATATTTTAAACCCATATTAATACCCTCCAACTGTATGCCTTTATTCAGTTTCCCCAGAACTGCATCCAGAAAGACTTACCCTAATTACAAAGCTAAATAGTCACCCTAAGGGAGTACCTTGGGGCCAATAGGCCTACCCAAGGGTCTCCTTAAGCCCATAAGGAATTACCAACTTGATCGGTTCGAACCCATATAAGAAATTACAATTTTACGAGCTGAACCTTCATACTCCAGCCTACCCATACAATACCCAGTAGAAATCAGATTGAACAATAATTTTAATATCAAAATCATGATCCA